TTTCCAGGATGTCAGGATGCGCCTATATAGTAAATCACGAGTTCTGAGCCAAAAGTGCCTACCTTGGGTTTTACCTGACTTAACCGAAAAGAAAACCTCACCTTCGGCGCGAAGGCGGGTTGTAACATTAAGCTTTCTTGTTCAATTTCGCGGGCTTAGCCCGCGAAATAAGTTCGATTTCGGCGCACTGAACCAGAAACATAGTGACCGATTTTAGAGTTACACACAAAAAAAAAACCGTCAAAACTTTTAAAATTTCACCAGACTGATCGCATTGCTGGTATTGGAGGGTGGCAACTTTATCAATAGCAAAAGCAGACTCAGAATATTGTTCGTACCCTTTTGCCGGCATGAACCATAGGCGTTCTCCCACGCGTCCCACAGGCGGTTGTAATAGCGAGGCTTCTCAAAGAACCCAAAGTATTGATGAGTCTCAGAAGTTGGGAAGATGCACGTGAACCTGCACGATGAAAAACTTTGAATAGAACAACATTTTTTATAAGGTTATTACACTAAGGCACTCAAGACAATGGCAATTTAACCGGTGCACTTCTGGTAAATAATGCTTATATGGAAATTGCAATTATTTTCCAATCCATGTAATAATGAATTTAACTCGGATAAAAAATACAGTCAAGTATATACATGACTTTGCAGTAGTAACGATTAAGCACCCTAGTTGCAGTGTTACACTAAAAGTTTTCAAGCCATATCACTAGATGATTAGTTCATTTTTTTCAGTATTGATCTCGACTTTAGCAAGATTATTCATGAAACTATAATCAAAGGAAAAACAATTGAAATTGAGACATTTTATGCAGAGGCAGAGGCACACGTGTAATGAAGAACATTTTCTTAAACGGTCGGTGAAACCTGCGAGGTAGATACAACATGCAAATTGCAAGGCTATTGAAATTCAAACCGTAATCCCTTTTGTTTGCATTAGATAAATCATGAATCCCACTAATACGTCAAGGTCTAGAAACTGAGTGGTTTTGACATGACCACCAAAAATAACTAATGTCAACTAATAACACCGGAAAAATGCTGCAGTGGAGGCTTTATAGCTAACAACATGGATGTCCAAGCACGAGATGATCTTGACTAAGAGAAAAATTATTCACACTTACGCTCCAGCCCTATTGAGCTCGTCTTCTCCAAGAACAAGATGTCGCACATCATCAGGCGTGAGGTTCTCAAGCACGGCGGTGAGGTACTGAGGTCTGGTCATGTTGTTAATTTCAGTGTGCTTGCGCTGCTCGGCGTCAGTGAGCAGGCGAGTGTACAGGCGATGGTCTAGCGTAAGGCGGCTCACCCGCTCCGAAAGTCCGTATTCCGACAGCACCTCGTGCTGAAATTAAATTCTCAATCAAGACCGATAGCAATATTACCTTAGCAGCATTTCCCACAATAGAAAATTTTTCTTCCTACGTGGTTCATCAACTGTTACAGTGCGTACAAGAAAACTGGCCAAGATTACTGGTGACAAACACCTTTCGAAAATTTCTTATTAGGCCCATCTAGGTAAACTTATAGTGCATGCATAGAAACTTGCCAAAGGAGCATTAGGCACAGTAACAGAATTGGAACTTAGGCAAATGAGGTAAATATGGACAAATAATCTGGATGTTAACCAGCAGCACATTTGGATCGTACAAAAAAAAAAAACATACAAGACTAAACAGCTGACTTAATTCAAACACAACTCAAACAGAATCTTGTGATTCACATAACTCATATACATTAGCTAGTACCTAAGTCATGGCAAGTATTTCATCAACTTATAACCACGAAAGAAAACGCAAAATATTATTTAGCAAACGAGGTATCTAAAATCAATTTGCTTCAAGGATTAATTCATCACAAAGCTCATCGCATGTGAACATTGGATTCAATTAATTAGCTTCACCCTCACCAGCACCTGAGGGGTGACTCAACTGCGTCTGAGGGGTGATCTTACCTGCATCTGAGGGGTGAGGGAGCGGTGGTCAGGGACATGGAAGGAGGCCATGGTGAGCAGTGAGGACATGAGAGGCCCCTTGACTTTGTAGTCTAGCGAGAAGGCCGAGTGCAGTGACGGAGAAATGTTCACCTCCAGGAGCCACGGTCGCAATTTCTCGTCAAGTAAAACATCAAATCCAAAGAGCTCGTAGCTTGAATACCTGAAATAGTATATCTTTCATGAGTACATGTGATCACTGTACACGATTTCTTTTCATCTGAGCTTCAGAATAATTCACTTTTCATATATAGCATCAAACTTACTACTGAAACGTCACTGCAGAATGAGTTAAGACAGGAGCACATAAAACGTCACTACCAAAGCAGAGTCATGTGTTCAAATGCTTACTTCGAGTTAGTTAGTTAGTTTAGTTACCCTATGATTACTAGCGTTTCAGCTGCTAAGCTATCTCGCGCCGAATGTCACATTGAGCATTATGGGCTAAGAACATATTGCATCACATGTATTCAGCGTTGACCAGATCATATACAGTCGAACACGTTTATTGCTCTCAGGTACTCTACGAGGCGGTCAACATTATAGCTACCGTGTTCTGGTTGGGCCAAAATACTTTTCAGGTGTGTGTCGGGGTCGTTTTGGCTTAGATGGGGGAAAAATTGCAGTCGGGCCACACCGAATGATGGGCACTCACAGAGGACGTGGATTATGGTCTGGGGCACTAAGCAATCCATGCAATAAGGTGCAGGCGTGCGTTCATGCTTACTTCGAGCGAAGGTTTTTCCTGGCTCGCGTAATGATGTCGTGTTCGCCGCTCATGACTGTCTTGATGACCATGTCGGCAATACGGCTCCAGATGGCGCCCGTGTCTATGCCCAGAGGCTGACAGGATTAAAAAAATAATTGTATGAAATAAGGTAAGTGTCGTATACAGGCAACAATGCACAATTACATCATTTAATCCAAGTCTTTTAAATTCATTGATATTTCTAATAAACATATGCAAGAATAAATGCAATCAGTATGGTTCTCTATAAGGCAAGATGAAGTGATTCTAGTAGAACTACAGCCAAGATTTAATCAAATCCAAGTTGCGCTGAACAAAGTTTGATAAAACACTGATAGATGCAAGAAATAAATTTTAAAAGGTCTCATGCTCATTTAGAAACAACAATGACTAACAGCAAGATTGATTGATGCAATATTCCACAATTTGCCAGAACACGTCAACTTCAAGTTCATGTGTTTAATGTCCTCTGTAAGATTAGAATAAAGACGAAAAGTCAACTTGAATATATCTGGCGAAATACGGATATGCAATGAACGTGTTACCAAACAATTATTAGCCGTTTTAGTTATTTGATGTGTTTACTGGCCTTATTCATCCCAAAAAATAGCGAGACTGAGATGTAGATCAACAAGGAAATAGATTGAAACACCAACAGTTAATTTCATTCTTTTCCATCATGCCTGACGCGCGAAAGATGTGCAGTCTAAACTTGAGCAAGTGTACAGTTTCCAAGCTCCCCTTGCCCTCATTGAGCCAACAAAATCGGTTAAAAGGCACCGCAACTTTCAGCCACATAGCTCTCCATTCAAAAACAATATACAATGTTGCTCAACCCATAATTTGGGAAGCAGTCGAATAGTGAACTGATTGGGACAAGATCCGTTGCAGCAAGTACACATTGAGTTAGGCCAAGTAAACTGCAGCATTGGATGTAATTAGAACCAAAGTGGACCAGGGCATTGTATATGAAATTGATTACATATTTATGATAGATTTGTACCTTGAGGTATGCCCAGAGCGACCAGAGCGTCCAGCGATGGCCCTGACACTCGCCCGCCTCAGCGTTGTGTGTGTAGGAGGAGCTGGACTTGTTGACGCTGTAGTTGGTGAGGTGCATAAAGCGGTCGCTCAAGCTCGTCGACTCGTTGCGGTACTCAACTGCAAAAACAGTAGATATTCAAACATATTCACAAGTGGTAATGCTGATAAAAATATAACTCGGTACTCACTGCATTGAGTGACAGAGAGCGCATTTTCTCGTCGACGAAAATGTGGTCACGGACGGACGAACAAACAGACGGACGGACAGACAGATGGACGGACATGACGAGCACAATAGCGCCTTTTTCCATAAATGAGAAAATGGGCTAAAAAAGCATGATATTGCTAAAATTAATGCAGGCACCTCTAAATGGATTTTTAGACTGAATCATGAGATAGGGTAACAGAAGTTATGTAGAAAATCTAATCCAGGAAACAACACTCAGCATTATTGTGGATTTTAATGCAGATATATACGTTCTGAGAATATTATATTCACCATCCCAAAACTAAACTCAAAGTTGCCATTCTGGAAGAAAACCTAGAATAATTCAATTGATGGCTTATAAAAATAGATTTTCTCAATCTAAAAGCTATTATTCAAAAACAGGCGGCATGGAGAAATTGAAATCGTCCCTTTGCAATCCAATGACAGGCTAGATTTCTTTCCGTGATATATTTTGACATGCGTTTTCTTAAACATGGCTGCCACAATCGCAGTAACCTAATTATTCATGCTCAGGTTTAATAAACAGGCTGATCCATGAAGTTGAACATAAGATCTGATTTTTCATCTAGTATCTATCAAGATGTTCGTGATTTTTTTCGATTTTCCACTAATAAACTCACTATTAAGTAATTATCCAAAGAGACTTCCACATTTTTGCAAATAATGATACCTATTCACAGAGATTTCTTAGTTACTTTGTATACAGATATTCTCAGAAACCTCCTAGTTATTTTCTTTTCTATGTTCATAGACTTTCTATATTACTATTTACAGACTTACTAGCAACATTCTATACTGATATTCATAGCGACTTTCTGGCGGCCATCTATAATGATTTTCATTAATATACTTTCTATATTGAAATTCCTAGAGACGAGAAGAAGAAGACTCACCAGAAGCAAAGCGCACCAAGCCGTCATTGTAGAGGTATATTCTGAGTGGATGGAAGGACGTGACCGCCACGTATATTCTCAAGTCAAACTTGGTGTTGTTGATGAGATATGGACGACTTACGTAGCGCTGCACCACCAGCTGCGACTCCTGGTCCAGCTGCGACCATTTATCTACCACCTGACATCACAAATGTACAACATTATAATGACGTTAATTATAATATTAGTATAATTATTATACGGTCAATTATGATTACAATTATTATACGGTCAGAATTATAACGTTAATTATAATAACGTACTAAATGATGAGAGTTACATTCGTGCTAATAGTAATTTTCCTCACAGAAGATGAAACTTTTAAGTGAAGGATTAGAACATATTTGCATCGTCTGTAAAAGGAGCAGATAAAAACTAAAAAGTTCTTAAAATGTTAGAGCTTAATTTTTTTAACAGAGGCATTTAGGTTGGAAACTAGCCAAAAATTGAGGAAAGTGTAGCAACAAAATGAACATTAAAATCAGATGAGCATTGAACCAACATTTTCGAGATGGTACAACAAAAAAAAATGCTTTGTACGAGTAATCAGGCATCCCTTCTAGTGTAATAGGACTCCAACGCTGCCCATGACACCCCAGTCAACCATTTGGAGCTTGTAATGTTTCACTGGTGATTACACGAGTACGTAGGTATATATATACGGTATATATATATAGGTACGGTATACCTACACATATATTGTCTTTAATAGTTTCATAATCACTGTTGTATAACATGCAATGTTTGAGGGGAATTTTCTTACAATTCGAGCTTGTATGGTTATATTTTCATGATGTTTCCTTCAAGCAAGTATCTTTCTCTGATGTCATGGGATTTGGAAAGTAACAATAGGCTATTGGAAGGGAGTTACATCTGCGAGTAGTCCCAATGTGCTATAAAACTCATAAGCCCGTCCTCACACCATCAAGAAAATTTAATGCCACTTGTGCTAAAAATGATAATTGATGCTGCAATGAGATTGTTTAAAAAAATATATTTTTTAAACGATTGTCATGCCTTTTAAGACAGATATCAAATTACAAGTTTTGTAATTGAAAGCTGGATCATAATAATATAATATAATAATAATAATATAATATAATAATAATAATAATGCATCCAGGCTCAGCCTGGATGCATTATTTTTTAAAACAAAATAAAATGAAAGAGCTAAAGAAGTGGTACTCCCATTCAATTTGTAACCTCATTTCAGATGAGATTACTAATAGAAACTTGCAAAACGAGCATTAACATTCATTGCAGATAAATTAATTCCCTCAATAAACAACTGAGCACCGGTGCACCGGTAGAGATAACGATTACTTGTATGCCGGTGCCTCTCGCCGACGCTGGAGGCTTCACAATCCACTTCTTCTTGACGCCTTCTTTATCAAAGGCAGTTTTTAGAGCTGAAAGCTCAGCAGGGAGAACAAACGTCTTTGGAATGAAGCCAAATCTGTAATATTCAAAATTTGTCAAACAAATACTTTGCTCTTATATTGCTTTTGACACACCTGTAAATCATGCGCAACAAATTATAACGCTTTTTAAGCAAATAATTAAAAACAATACAGAGATGGTAGCAGAAATGAGAAGGTAAACAAACTTGACTGCAGTATTATGCACATGAAGCGAAAGTCAACTTGGATGTCAGATTTTATACCAGACCAACAAAAATAATTATAAATTTCAACACTGGTGCCAAGCACTCACTCTTCTTTGCCAAATCTGTTCTGCAGTCTCAGGAAGTTGCTCCAGAGTTTATCTTTCCTGCCGATCTGGAAAGTGCCAGGGAAATGGTTGACTTTCTGGTAAGATTTGACGGACTTGTAGCACGTGCTCTTCATATGCTTGCCCCAGGTGCCGGACCACAGCAATGTGCCTGTCATCAAGAAGGGTATTCCGTTACATTCAAAATTGTAAAAAAAAAGAAAAAAGTACAAGCTTCAAATGAAGATAAAACATGAGATACGGTATGTCATACTTCAGAGAGTAACACATATGGTATGAAACTTTGAATAAGTTGTATAATGTTTCACTGAGATTTTGACTGGCTATTTCATTTAAAACAATATTCAGAATTATTGGTGAAGTTAAAAAACTTTTATATTTTACTCATTATTTAATATTGTCTGTTCATCTGCTCACGTTTGGTCATCTTGTATCCAGAATTGGCAACAGTTTTGCGTATAATCAGGGGAGTGATGGGAGTGTGTCGCCACTTGAGCAGCTTGCCCACACACTCAGGTAGAGGCCGACACATTTCATTGTGTTGGCAGAAGCGGATGGCGGGAGGGACGTAAGAAAATAGTGAGGGTGAGAAGGCTGGCAGAGGCTGAGGGGATGGTGCAGCACTGTACAACAGTGATCCTGCAAAAAATCACAACAACATGCACAACACAATAATGGGTTAGCAATGTTATTTCTACTTAAGTTTTATATGCAGAAGCAACGGCCCAACTTGCACTCTCAAGCCATGCATCCCATTGCAGTTGAAACTTAAGAGTGGAGGAGTTGATATAGGTACCGTACCACCAACAGACATCATTGCTCAAGTAATTAAGTCTCAACAGAACTTTAACAATTGGTAATGTACACTAGAAGCATTCATAGATGCACCTCTGTTAATTGGATGTGGAAGTGAACTGGCTGTCCTGCAACACTTAACATGACTGAATCCCAAGCCATTATTTTAAAAGGAAAAAGTCTAATCATACTAATTTTTCTTACATTTAAAAAACATAGAAACTGTGCCTACTTGACTGCATTCAAGTAAAAATTCAAGAAAATCCAATTAACATGGCATGAATGTGAAATAATTTGAATAACATAGAACCTTGAAGCTGAAGCATGACATTAGAAGGGAAATAATGTACAACAGAACTTGATGGAAGGAAGGGTTGTTTCCCCAACTATTTTGCAACTAAAGAAAACTATCAATCCCCATGCCAACATTGATGTATGCTTTCAGGAGTCAACTGTTATTGAATTATATACAAATTCATTTTAGAAAATCAACATTTTAACACCAGAAATTTTTTTTTTGTGTAATCATAGTTAAATTGCAAATTAAACTAGAGGCAAAATTATTATAAGAGTTTTATTTACCATCTAGGTTGGTGGCCTGGCCCTGCTCATTTCGACAAATGGCAGCCAATGCTTCACTGGCCACTGAGCGCAGGGAGCAGGTAGACCCGACAGTGCTCACAACGCTGCCGTCATCTGCACGAGAGCATCACAAGCAATAAAACAATGCAAACATCAGGTCAGAGTAGTTAATAATTAGCATAATAAACAAAACACTTCTTTCCTTCACTTGGGTATAAAAAGTAAAGTACAGTATACATAAGAAATGCCCACACTTCATTAAAAGTGTAAAACACAATACCTACTACCAGTACCTCCTTGTAAAGGAAGCATGTTATCAATACTTTATAAACACAAACCAATGTTCTCTCCTACATATGAATTCTTGAGTGTGTAACAATTTTGCCCATGGATACATGTACAGGAGTGGCAGTATGACAAAAATAAAATTTTATACACAAGATCTTTGCAAGAGTATTGACATCTCAGCAGTTTATGCTACTAATGGCTGGGTTTAAATAAATACAATGTTAACCACTAAATCAAAGCAATTGCAGTAATTAATTTGATGGTTAGATAGTCAGCATGTAAGTTCTGGTGTGTAGTAAGTAATTCAATAAAATACTTCTTCATTATGGGACATCGATAATATTACAGAAAATTTATAACCCTCCCAGTTATTTCTTGAAGTTTCAGTACAAAAGTCAACCAACAAAAATTTCATTGTGTTCAGTAAGATCAGACCTCCTTTGATTTCATAACAAAGTTTACTTCAAGCTTACCCTCTCCACAGCTTTCTTCCTCGTCAATGTTTCCAAGACCCTCACCCCCAGCATCTTCATCTTCTGAGGAGTCAAGGTAATTATCATCATCTTCATCACCAGAGTAAGAGGGCACATGGAGAGGAGTTGGATGATGAGGATAATGAGGTGGAGTTGCACTCACATCCTCGAGACCGTCCAACGTCTGCTTTAGGCAGCCATCTGGCAGTCGAGCAATGTAGTGCAGGGTGGTTGAGGCAGGGCTGTGTTGGGATAACTGACTGTCCAATGTTGATATGGCAGATGATAAAGAAACTGTTGGAGCTGTTGGATCATTTTGAATCTTCAAAATATCTGTGAGTTTGCTTGAATCATTTTCATTGTTATTTACATTATCAACAAAGATTGAGTTGCTGTTAATACAAGATTTTCCATTTTCATTCATCATTGCATGTTCCTTGGGCACTTGTTTTTCTGTGACATTGTCATCACTTGCTCTTGAATTTTTATTTTCATAATTCATTTTTGAGCAAGAGTTGCTTTCATTTTCTAGCCTAATATTCCTCTCACACAATGGATTATGAAGTAAATTAGTAGCATTGATGCCACTCATGCTTATTCTTTTAGATGCACAAAGAATCAAGTCTGATATAGGTTCTGAGGGAGTTTCTGCACAATCTAACTCATGCATGAGTTTTTGTCTCTTTGAGATGGCAAAAGGTTTATTTTCAGAGGTTGAATGGAGTTCACAAGGGTGGTCTGTGTTATTTCTCTTGGTTGTCAATTTTACTGTTGGTGAATTTTCACTACAGTTTGATACACACTCACCATTAGGTACATCATCAAAAACACCAGCACTAGATAATTGAACAGAAGAAGAAACTATGGAGCTTTCTATTTTATCCCCCGACATTCTAGAGCCAAAAAAGTAACTTGACTAATATTAACTCAGCTGAAAAATAAAATGTTATCAGAAGCTTTAAAGTAAGCAAAGAAGTAATCAAAAGCCACTGAGCATAAATTGATATAGGTATATATTAATTCCTTAATTTATGTATTCAAATGGAGACAGAGACATTGGTCTTAAATCAAACTTTTTAATTAGCCATGAAGGTAATGCTTAGCAATCGGCACTCAGAGCTAGCAGCCACTGACTAGGCTGAATTACCATAAGCAAGACCAGTAATGCAATGCTGAAAGCCATATCCACCATAAGCCACAGCCACTGCTTTAAGGGGACCGTCTACCCTACGTAAAAACTTCTACAGTTATTATCCGATCATCGTGAAACTTCACATACACACGTAAAATGTAAAAAAATAACATTTTGCTCATATGAATTTTTTGAAAAAATTGATAGAAAACGTGAAATTCATAAAAAACGGGTACTTTAGAAAATCTATCTCCTCCTACAAATATCATCCTACAACATTGAGACACGTATCATTTGATTCGTAAAGACCATACCTGTCAACTTAAGATCACTTTTCTCATTTTTCCCCCTCCCCCCCCTCTTCTCCCCCATATATACAACGAACCATACACAAATTTCAAAAAATGATCTTAGAGTCGACAGGTATGGTCTTTACAAATCGAATGGTATATGTCTCATTGCTGTAGCTTGAAAACTATAGGAGATAGGTTTGCCATGAGAGCAATAGGTTTACACCACGCCCAAAAAACTGCCAACGGCACGTAAAGGGACGTAAAAGAGTCGTAACGTAGCCTAGATACCGTAATTAAGCCTCAAACCAAGTCAGCAAGGCATAGAACAACTGGCTGCATACCTCCTCACCTCGCTGTCATGATGGGCACTGACTGCTTTGGCAGCAGCAGGCTAAATTTATAGTCCTGCTCTCGAATTATGCCCATTGGAATTAGTGAAAGCCGCCCAATACTGCACCCCATTCCATGGCGTGTCATGTACATCAAAATGCAGGTAGAACGATGGTTCTGATACCGTTTGACATGCCAGAAAGTAAGCTTCAAGATGAGTATAGGCACTGGATAATGCCATAATTGGCCTCTTTACGTCAGACGTTTTTTTCAGGGTTGGCAATGATTAAATCAAAATGATTAAATCATGTGATTAAATCACTTGATTTTTTTATAAAAAAATCATGATTTTTTTGATTTTTTCGATTTTTTTGAATTTTTTGATTTTTTCATATATATAAATATATTGAGTGGCAGTCTTTAATTTATATTGAGGTATTGTTATTCATGATTTAGTATAAATGTACTATAAATGACAAATTGGTATATAAACTTGTTGCCTTTAGTGTGTATTAGGTTCCAATAAATTGAATGTTTTTGGTACAGAGGCATCAAGTGTGCAATACATTGTACGTAGCTAGCAGCTTAGCTAATTCTTATAACGCTATAAGTAGTCTTTAACTATTTGACTATTTGTTATATATTGATTACAATATACAATTTAAATGTGTTAGCTAGCTTATACAGGGTGGGGCAGAACTGATTGAACAGTTTTGGGGCAAAATAAAAGAGTAATGGAGGTACATAAAGAAGGAAGTTTATTTTTCTCAAGATTAGCATAACATACCATATAAAATACTTATGTTTTGCAAGCAATATCAGGAAAATGGGGTTTGTTAGCTGTATCACACTGTTGGAGTCGTTTTCGGAAGTTTCCTACAGCACGTTCACACATATGGCAAGGTAGGTATGGCCATAACCTCTGCTCCAATAATCAATCCCCCTAGCTGTGGTAGGGTGTGAGGGCAACTTCTGAACTTCTCTTTTAGATGTCCCCAAAGAAAGAAATCGCAAATGCTCAAATCAAGTGACCTCACAGGCCAGTGTAAATCACCCCTCAGAGACACCAGACCTCTGGGAAACATGAGTTTCAAAACATTGGGTGACATTTGGGCTGTGTGAGCTGTAGCGCCATCCTGCTGGAACCACACGTCTTGCAATGCTTCATTTTCAACAATGTTTTCCATCATGGGCTGCAAGAAATTTTGCAACATTGCAGCATAGCGATCGGAATTCACTATCACGGTTACTCCCTTCTCTGAAAACGACTCCAACAGTGTGTTGCAGCTAATAGCCCCCATCTTCCAGATATTGTTTTCAAAACATAAGTACCGTATTCTAAATGGTATGTTATGTTAACTTCTAGGAAAATAAACTTTCTTCTTTATGTACCTCCATTACTCTTTTATTTTACCTCAAAACTGCTCAATCAGTTCTCCCCCACCCTGTATATTGAGAGGTTGAGATTGTATTGACCTTTTAGGCAATTAGAAAGATTTACCACCCTAATACCAGTATTCTAATTAAAATATTTAATTTCAATCTTTAAATATGTGAATTTAAAACTAGAAATAAAACAATTACAATTATAAGACTATATATAAAATAATTTAGATCTGCATTCCTGAAGTGTTTTTGTATATTGAAGCCAGTTAAATGGTCAATATTTAGCTCATTACCTTGCTCCATACAAACTTTACAAAGCTAATAGACATAGTACCAATAATTGTTTACCCAAAAATCCCTAAGTGGTAAACACCACCTTGGCCTGTTGGCCATTATTGAAGGCAATAAGTGCCCTTTTTAGCCATCCATTATGATCCATATACTGTTATTGTTAGTAGGCTAATTGCAACATAAAAAATAATACATCAAAAAGACAAAAAAATTGAAAAAATCAAAAAAATCAAATAAATCAAAAAAATCATGAAAAAATCAAATAAATCATTGATTTTTGATTTTTTTGATTTTTTTAAAAAAATCAAAAAAATCGCCAACCCTGGTTTTTTTTAGTGTGTCCAACCTTCGAATTAATCCCATAGACTTCACTGAAGGGCCCTCAAAACCACCTCCCTTTAGGGATCTGTCATGAAATCATTTTTCGACATAGAGAGATGATTCTGGTACCATTCGATGCGTCAGAAAGTAAGCTTTAAGATGAGCACAAAAACCGGAAAACGCCAAAATTGAAAATTTAGGGGTGGACAGTCCCCTTAAGAATGCTATCACATGAGCAGGCAGTTAAGCATCTAGCCTAACCTATTCATGCTGCCCCAACTCTTTACCCCACTTGTAGCCGATGACAATCTTTGCCTGCTCACTTGCCCAACACTTAACTTTTCCACAGGTTAGGTTTGCTCAGGTTTGGTTTGGGTGTTTGGGTCATGGTAACATGAATAGGCTGGGCCAGATGCAGTTATGGCCATGCTCATCACAGGCAGGTTTAACACATTCAGTGCAATGGTCAGAGCTGCACACTGCCCACTGGTGCACTCATATTTAGTTTCCAATTGAACCTTCCAATTAAATATAATGAATATGCTTTTTTCTGGTACTGTCAACCGGGGCTACTTGGGACGGGTGGGGTAACTCAGGACAGTCCTCCGACACGGCGTAAAACTGTTTTATTAGCCAAACTGATTGGAATATTGCAAAACTAAATATAGTGGCGTAAACGTCAACATTTTTCCTATCTATGTAGTATAAAGGAAGTTCAAATATACTACATTTACTTGCTTTGAAAACTTCCTGAAAAAAATGGAGAAAAACAATATTTTGAAAAGTTACTTCTGCTAAGGTCTGTAGTAAAAAAAAAAATATTTGCCGTATTAAAAAATTTTGCTTAGAAAAAAGTTGCAGACAAGTGTCAGCATGAAAACTTTATTTGCAGAATTACCATACCTAAATCCAAAAAAAAAAATGGCGGCCATTTTCGCACGGCGGGGCTACTCGGGACACCCCAAAAAACGCATTTACAGTAGAACCTCAGTTAGCAAAGGTTCCAGTTAAGAAAAAAATTGCTTAAAAACAAATAATATTGATTATATTCACCTTGCTCAGCGAAAAAATTTCACTTATTGAAAAATTAGTGCAGCATCGGTCATCACAAAATTGTGCATAGAATGTCATACCGTCAACCGGAGCTACTCGGGACAGGCGGGGCTACTTGGGACAGGTCTATGACATGGCGTAAAACTGTTGTAGTAGCAAAACTAATTGGAATATCACTAAACTAAAAATAGTGGCGTAAACGTAACTATTTTTCCTATCTATCTAGTACCTATAAAGGAAGTCGAAAAATACTACATTTACTTGCTTTGAAAAATTCCTGAAAAAAATGGTGAAAAACTATGTTTTGTAAAGTTACAACTGCTAAGGTATGTAGCAAAAAAAAATATTCGCCATATTAAAAAATTTTACTTACATAAAAGTTGCACCCAGGTGTCGGCTTGAAAAAGTAATTGACAGAATTTGCCTATTAATTCCAAAAAGAAATGGCAGCCATTTCCGCACGGCGGGGCTACTCGGGACACCCCTCCCCGGGGCTATTCGGGACACCCCCAAAACCGCATTAAGGGTAGAACCTCAATTAGCAAAGTCTTCAATTACAAAAAAAAATTGATTAAAAACAAAGAATATTGATCACATTTCCCTTGCTCAGCGAAAAAAATTTCACTTGTCGAAAAATTAGTGCATCATCAGTCATCTTAAAATTGTGCATAGCATGTCATGTATAGAATTGTGCACCAGGCATTATAGAATGAAAAGTAATTGACCTAAACTATGATTTATTTCTCCAAAAGATAGGCTGGTTGTCACTAAAACATTCCTTTCAGGAAGTTAATGATCACGCGAAGTTAATGATCAAGCAAAGTTAATGATCAAGCAAAGTTAATGATCATGCAAAGTTAAATACCACATGAAGTTAATGATCACGTGAAGTTAATGACCACGTGAAGTTAATGATCACGGGAAGTTAATGATCACGTGAAGTTAATGATCAAGCTAAGTTAATGATCACGTGAAGTTAATGATCATGGGAAGTTAATGATCACGGGAAGTTAATGATCACACAAAGTTAATGATCACAGGAAGTTAATGATCACGTGACATTAATGATCACGCGAAGTTAATGATCACTCGAAGTTAATGATCACGCAAAGTTAATGATCACGCGA